AGCGTTGGTTTAAAGTGTGCTGCACGTGCCGTCATCCGCGAAGTAAGTCGTCATAATATATGCATTGGATATTAATTTAATTACCACCAGGGCGTTCCACAGATAATTAACAATATCACTTTGACTAATAAGCTCTTACCCTTTTTGGTGAAATAGGATGTGGTTGCTAAATGTTTCGTGTCCTTGCCACAGCAAGGATTAAATGGAGGAGTTGACCACAGATAACGGGGCCTACACCAACGCCCACTCAAAGGCCTCTCTAGAGTGTCATCTCACTGAAACTCAGTAGCTTAACTCTAAACAACAGTTTAACAAAGACTTACTACATGTGTTTAAGAAGACACCGCCAATGGAAAAGGGTAAGTGGAACAAAATGGAAAAGATAGAAGTTGAAAGTTGTAGCGATGGGGACATCATATCAGTTTTAGTTACTCCGGAATCTCCTTAATAATACACAGAAAAAAAACATCACATTTTGCAGAGGGCATCACACTAAATTTCAGTTTACCTCTTCTTTTCCTGAAACCTTATCAAAGTATGTTATTCATGACGTTCCCTATCTGGGACCAGTTCTAATGAAATAAACAGCCCATCTAATATCTTTAGATGTCACGCTCAGCTGTAGTGTTTATATCTAGATCAATTGATTATAAAACATACAGCTCTGCAAACAAAACCAATCTTAAGACGGCAATAACTTAAGTATATAAAACTGATAGAAAGTCAACACCAAGCCAGACCTAGTACTAATAAATCATATCGGTACAGTAGGACGAGAATGTAATCGGTACAGTAGGACGAGTAGATAATCGGTACAGTAGGGCGATATATATAATCGGTACAGTAGGACGAGATATATAATCGATACAGTAGGACGAGATATATAATCGGTACAGTACAGTAGGACGAGATATATAATCGGTACAGTAGGACGAGGTATATTATCGGTACAGTAGGACGAGGTATATTATCGGTACAATAGGACGATATATATAATCGGTACAGTACAGTAGGGCGAGATATATAATCGGTACAGTAGGGCGAGATATATAATCGGTACAGTACAGAAGGAAGAGATATATAATCGGTACAGTAGGACGAGATATATAATCGGTACAGTAGGACGAGATATATTATCGGTACTGTATGACGAGATATATAATCGGTACAGTAGGACGATATATATAATCGGTACAGTACAGAAGGACGAGATATATAATCGGTACAGTAGGGCGATATATGTAATCGGTACAGTAGGACGAAATATATAATCGGTACAGTAGGACGAGGTATATTATCGGTACAGTAGGACGAGGTATATTATCGGTACAGTAGGACCAGGTATATTATCGGTACAATAGGACGATATATATAATCGGTACAGTACAGTAGGGCGAGAGATATAATCGGTACAGTAGGGCGAGATATATAATCGGTACAGTAGGACGAGATATATTATCGGTACAGTAGGACGAGGTATATTATCGGTACAATAGGACGATATATAGAATCGGTACAGTAGGACGAGATATATAATTCGTACAGTAGGACGAGATATATAATCGGTACAGAAGGACGAGATATGTAATCGGTACAGCAGGAAGAGATATATAATCGGTACAGTAGGACGAGATATATAATCGGTACAGAAGGACGAGATATTTAATCGGTACAGTAGGACGAGGAATATTATCGGTACAGTAGGACGAGGTATATTATCGTTACAATAGGACGATATATATAATCGGTACAGTAGGGCGATATATATAATCGGTACAGTAGGGCGATATATATCATCGGTACAGTATGACGAGATATATAATCGGTACAGTAGGACGAGCTTTATAATCGGTACAGAAGGACGAGATATATAATCGGTACAGTAGGACGAGATATATAATCGGTACAGTAGGACGAGGTATATTATCGGTACAGTAGGACGAGATTTATAATCGGTACAGTAGGACGAGAAATATAATCGGTACAGTAGGACGAGCTTTATAATCAGTACAGAAGGACGAGATATGTAATCGGTACAGCAGGACGAAATATATAATCGGTACAGTAGGGCGATATATATAATCGGTATAGTACAGTAGGACGAAATATATAATCGGTACAGTAGGGCGAGATATATAATCGGTACAGTAGGACGAGATATATAATCGGTACAGTAGGACGAGATATATAATCGGTACAGTATGACGAGATATATAATCGGTACAGTAGGACGAGATTTATAATCGGTACAGTAGAACGAGAAATTTAATCGGTACAGTAGGACGAGATATATAATCGGTACAGTAGGGCGATATATATAATCGGTATAGTACAGTACGACGAAATATATAATCGGTACAGTAGGGCGAGATATATAATCGGTACAGTAGGACGAGATATATAATCGGTACAGTAGGGCGATATATATAATCGGTACAGTAGGACGAGATATATAATCGGTACAGTAGGACGAGATATATAAACGGTACAGTAGGACGAGATATGTAATCGGTACAGTAGGACGAGATATATAATCGGTACAGTAGGACAAGATATATGATCGGTACAGTAGGGCGATATATATAATCGGTACAATGCAGTAGGGCGATATATATAATCGGTACAGTAGGTGGAGATATATAATAGGTACAGTACAGTAGGACGAGATATATTATCGGTACAGTAGGACGAGATATATAATCGTGACAGTAGGGCGAGATATATACTCGGTACAGTAGGACGAGATGTATAATCTGTACAGTAGGGCGATATATATTATCGGTACAGTAGGTCGAGGTATATTATCGGTACAGTAGGACGAGATATATACTCGGTACAGTAGGACGAGATATATAATCGGTACAGTAGGACGATTTATATTATCGGTACAGTAGGTCGAGGTATATTATCGGTACAGTGGGACGAGGTATATTATCGGTACAGTAGGGCGAGATATATTATCGGTACAGTAGGACGAGGTATATTATCGGTACAGTAGGACGAGATATATAATCGGTACAGTAGGGATATATAATCGGTACAGTAGGACGAAATATATAATCGGTACAGTAGGACGAGGTATATTATCGGTACAGTAGGACGAGATATATAATCGGTACAGTAGGACGAGATATATAATCGGTACAGTAGAACGAGATATATAATCGATTCTACTAATAAACGAATCGAAAGCTCTGCAGACAAAACAGATTCTAGGACGATGATAACTAAAGTATAAATAGTACATGGAGGTTAAATTTATTCTGGCACGGCTTAACTGTATTGTCATTTGTAGTCACAGGTTCTACATTTGTATATGTGTAACATTGTATATGACGTATGTTTGGACTCATAGACATTTTGTAGCACTGAAGAGTTATAAATGCTCTAACTGACCATATGATGTAATGTATTATTTTATTTTACTAACTACATCGACTTAATTAATCATTAAACAGATATTTCCTTACTTAGTTGTCTCGGCTATTATTTACGTCACACCGTGGTTAGCAGTTCTATTGGACTGTCGGTCCCCCGGGTTACCCGTTGGTAACGTTGTAGCTATAGGACTTACTCCGGCATGTTTTACATAAAACACTAGTTAAAGAATCAATTACCTGTTGCAGACAAACGTAATAAACATGTAATGCTTTAACGGTTTGTAGGCACCTTTCACTTTCGGTTATTTCTACAGAAGATACATAAATAAAACCCATGTCTATATAAGATAAGACACGGATTGTATACCCATTACAACATTTGGAATCTTTATATTTCTTTCTGCGCTTAAATACCTTTAATTTCCTAGCTTGGTATAGTACTTCACTTCTGGCTTTAATGTAGAGCGTTCGCCAAGGTTAGGAAGGTAATGGGTTCTGTCCCCAGGCCGGGACATACCGTAGTCCTTAAAAATGGCAGTTGATTTTCCCTGCTTAACGTTCAGCATTAAGGGTAATGGCAATAACTGGTTCACCCGATGTCAGGATAATGTGACCGGGCGAAATGCTGTGCTTGGTGCCCCCGGAATAGAATTTCAGTGAAATAGCACTATTAAGTCGGCATCAGATCCGCGCCATATGGACATATGGTGCAGCGTGTATAACATGTAACTTAAAGGACGACATGGACATATGGTGCAGTGTGTATAACATGTAACTTAAAGAACGAATTAGACATATGGTGAAGTGTATATAACATGTAACTTGAAGGATGAAATGGACATATGGTGAAGTGTATATAACATGTAACTTAAAGGACGAAATGGACATATAGTGCAATGTATATAACATATAACTTGAAGGACGAAATGGACATATGGTGAAGTGTATATAACATGAAACTCAAAGGACGAAATGGACATATAGTGCAATGTATATAACATGTAACTTGAAGGACGAAATGAACATATAGTGCAATGTATAAAACATGTAACTTGAAGGACGAAATGAACACATAGTGCAGTGTATATAGCATGTAACTTGAAGGACGAAATGAACATATAGTGCAGTGTATATAGCATGTAACTTGAAGGACGAAATGGACATATAGTGCAATGTATAAAACATGTAACTTGAAGGACGAAATGGACACATAGTGCAGTGTATATAGCATGTAACTTGAAGGACGAAATGAACAAATAGTGCAGTGTATATAGCATGTAACTTGAAGGACGAAATGGACATATGGTGCAGAGTATGTAACTTCGGTCTTTTCCGTTCATGTTTGAAATTTTATATAAACAATCCTACTTCATCACTCTGTATTTCCAGTGGATATTATGAGAAAATATTAGTAGTATTTATGCTAATCATTTATAACGGTACACCTAGAAAACAGCACCTGTTTAAATCCAAATAAGGTAGGTATCGGATGCCGTTATGACGAGATACTAATTCAGTCATGATAATGAGAGTCGTTAAAACGAGATACTAACTCATCACAACGATATGCTATCTCGTTATAACGAGATAAACAAGTAGTGTAATCGTTTCATGTTCCCCATTCGGCATCCGTCATGATCCAAGAGAGACGAATTCATCAGATAAGAACGTTATAGTACAAACTGTCATCAGTTAATACATATCATATATAACACATCATAACGGGTCAAGAAAAGGTTTATATAAAAGTATTTACATAATTAACATTCAAACAAATTTGAAATATCAATTAAGTTATGATTAGCAATTTCATGTACGACTCTATAGAGATAAATGCTGACACAAGAAGATGACCTCCAGCCACCTTCCATCCGTAACACTAGCATAAAACATTTAAACGCTATGCTTTTAAAACAGAAAGTCTATGTAAATGTCTCGGAGAATGAATAAATATATAGAAAAAAAATATTTTGGTGTTTTAACAAAACAGAAAACAGGACCTTCATTTCATTGTATATCGTTCGGATCGAATGCTCTGTTTTCATATGATTTCGTTGTGCCTGGTTGCAGGTTGTATGTTTTTATTATGGTAGAGGTCTTTGCGAACCGTGGCTGGTCCTTCGGTAGCCAGGAGTGGCTGTCTACTGCAATTGCATAGGAAGTTCTTCGTATTTGTTTTTTGACTGCTAGACATTCGGGCGATATCTTAAACTCATGCTGTAGGTCTGGTACGGAACTCGATAGTTTTGAATTAGAAACACTGCAGTGTTCCACATTATTAAAATACTTCTTTTGTTCGACAATAATGATATCGTCGGCAGATAGTGTTCGGAACACGTGCGAATGACTGTTGGCGTCCGAGGATACTGCAGTTGCGTCTAAGTCGTTTGTACGCTTGTTTAAATTAACACTTTCTTCCTCCTCGAGGCCTTTGTGAATATCTCCGTTTTCAGGATTTTCGTAAGCGGATTGTTCCAAACGAAGTCGTCGCTTGGCTTCTATCCTGGATTTAATTTTTTTCCTGTCTCTGCAGAACAGAAAGAAAAGATAATCAAATACTAGCTAAGAGATATAGATAATGTTCATTCACAGAAATCGATACCATCCTGATAAAAACAGATATTTCCAGGGAAGACTATTTCATGAGTTATATTTAGACGTAATGATCGATAATGACATTTCACAAGCCAATTCCCCATAGGATCAGCTTCCACAATCCATTAATATATCGTGTTCGTTGATACACAATATAAGATTTCCAAATATTGAAAGGCTGCAAATATATAGTCTGTTTTTAAAGTTGTCAGCTCGCGCCATTTCCATTGAGGAATAATTGAAAATGAATCCTGAAAAATGAACTTTCAACTTAAGGTACAGCAAATCAATGAAAAAAGTATTTAGTCTACAAACGATCGTGGTATAGTGACATACTGGTATTTACACAAAACGATTACGAGTGTCTCGCTACACTAGTAGCTGGACTATTTTACTGTATGCTATCGTTGTAGTAACTAACTGAGTATGTTGTTTGATTGTGTAGTATTGGACTCTCTACAATAGTGAATGTAAAGTCATTAGTAGTGAAAACAGTTTCACTTACGTTTTACACGCGCTCTTAATCAGTAGCATTTTTTGTTGTCCTAAAATGTTTAGCACCTGGTAAATCCGCTATGTAAGAATGAGGAAAGAGGATAACAGCTATGTTATAGATTTAATAAAAGAAGAAATACCTTCCGGTACCGGGTTTATCAGAGGGGTATGACAGGCGTGCCAGATACTCTAATTCTGACAAACAAATATAACATCATTTATTTGTTAGATTACATAAGCACATTAATAATAATTTTCAGAGTGAAAACTGGTAAACCGTTTATATGAAAATATGTACTGATAAATCGTACCTGGCAAAATGGCAATAGGTGAACGGAGAGAAAAAGGGAACGAACAAAGATAAGATACAAGGACTTATGAGTTTTACATATTACGACTATATCAAGATAATATTTAAAAGTGAACTTTATCAGTTAACAGCTGGTTTATCAAGCATGAAAAAACTTGTGATATAAACGGACATTCTCTTCGCATGCGAATGACCTACTTTCGTATGTGGTGACATACTTTCGTATGTGGTGAAATACTTCCATATGTGGTGACCTACTTTCGTATGTGGTGACCTACTTCAGTATGTGGATGATCTACTTGCTTATGTGGATGCGTAGAACCCCGTTATACGCATCTGTGTGCTAATACACTTAACTGCACAAGGCTGGTAAGGGAGTAAGAAACAGGTATTGTTTAAACAAACACGTGTTCGGTATTTCCGCCCTATAAAGTAGAAATCCACATCCCTACATCCATTTGATACACTAACATCAACTTTATGCCATTATAAATGTACATTTATAGATACGATCGCCTTGTACTTTTTGAAGAGTATCCATGGCAATACTTCCTCATATCTTTGACGTTGTTTGATCTATTTTGAGTTCGAGTTGTGGTTATGTTTACACTTCCGCATTCTCTTGTTTAAACAGTATCACAAATCACAGGGACCTGAGCATTTATTACAGCTATATTTAGACCTAAACTAAGGTGTTCAGAGTAATTTAACATGTTTTAGGGGTTTAGATCGACATTCAGTAAAAATGACACCCCAATAATCATACATACGAGAGGGAAGGTAAGCTCTCGATGTCGAATTGTCGACCCCACCAAACTTTCTTGCATCAAAAACAACATTGCTTACGGGAAAATGTGTAGTATCGTTGGAAAGATGGATAATTTTATTTTCAAGATGTCTATCGGGTGTTGCTTCCAATAGCAATAGACCCCACATCATGCTCACAAAGTTATATAATTGGTATAAACAATCAAGAGTATACTAAATAAAAGCATGTATTTACGTTAAAACTGGCGTGCCCTAACAAAAGCAAACTAAACTATTTATTAAGCACCCATAACATGTAATATACATTTTAAGACATAAGCAAGGCATGAAGCCCCTTCATCCAAGTTGCCTCGCCTCCCTTTGTAGTACCCACATGTCCTCCCCCGCTCTCCCACGTAGGACGATGACGTCAATGAGAACCTTTACAGTAACGGTTTTAAGGTAACAGACATTATGAATAAGCGAACAGCAGTAAACTATTTTAATGGTGTATACAAATGCGTTGACCTTTCTGTTGCCATCTGCGATGAAGCCGCACGCGAACGACATACCACCGACGCCAATTATTGATGGACAGAAAATTGCACGTGCGACCTCCGGCCAGGTAATGTGTTCAGGTAGCTCGGTCGGTCATCATTACTGACCTGTTTCTTTTCTTTCTCGTTATTAATTAACAAAAGTAGAATTTTATCTACGTGCATCGCATTTACATCATGGTGTATCTTACGTAAAGCCAATTTCGCTTTCTGTTTTTGGGGTTACTCGAGCTCTCTACTGGTGCTATTTTAGGAGTAAATTTGGTATATTTAGCATCTGATAAGGCAAAAATAATTTATGAGAAACCATTTGGTTTTTAAATAAAGCTTTGGTTATCAGTTTCAAACCGTATGAAATGCGAGGAGGAGTACTTGATACGGTGAGGAAACACGATGTGTGGTGCTCCAGGTTAAGTGTAAATATGTGTTAGTGTAAAATACAACCGTGTATAAACGCCTCCTACTGATGGTAACACGACCCTTCCTATTCATCCGTGATGGCAAAATATCGTTCAATTATTTAAACGCAGGTATTCAAGTCTAGACTATATACCGCATAGTTGATGTTTTGGTAACTTAAATGAAAATCAAAGGCCGTTAAGTTTTTCCCGGTGTTCAGACGGGAAGAGGGGTCGGTTGCTAAGCAGTTGATCGTTACAGCATTTAAGGCTTTTTTTTTTTTTTTTTTTTTTCATTACAACAGGATCAGAAGTGGGTCAGTATCAAAATCAACCTTTTAAAGACATATTAAGAACTATGTGGTTAATGCGGTGCGAGAGGATTAGAACGGTTTCGGTTTTAATTTAAGAGGTCAAATAATTCTGAGCCTGATACTGACTTGGTCTTAACACTCAATCATAATAAAAATTCACTGTCAACCAACAACCCCAACGGACACAATGTCAAAAGTGATGTTTGTTACAGATTAACGTTTATAGTTTTAATTTCCCCCATTAACATTGATAGGACGACGGGTCTCTAGGGAAATAATGGAAAGGATTGTTATATATCTCGCGTAGTACGGGTACAGAAACTATATAATAATGCAATAATGTGCAACCACATACGATTACTCTTATCTCATCATCGCTAACTTTCTTTTCCATAGTAGTAATGTAAGGTCCTTTGCTGTTTATGCAATTCTAATCAAAGTTAATTCACTCTTCCAGAACCTGCTTGATAAATTAAAATGAAATAAATAGAAGCGTCCTGTTGAAGTATACAATTGACGTCATCCCGACCCTTTTTTCCACATACGAGAAATCAATGTCTCATGAACAAATATCTGAGATCATTGGTGACCTACTACTTTCTGGATAAGACAGAAGACATTATGAAGTTGTTGCCTTTGGAACAGTGAATGTTTGACCTTCCACTTCGTGTTTTGTTGTGTTTCTGTGTTGGTTCATGGGTTGCCTTTTGTCCTTATGCATTTACGATGTTTTGTACTTTTTCTCATCATTTGTACACATTATTGTATACATTATCTAAAGATTGGTAAGAAGGTTATGTATCACAACCAGTAAGTGATCATGTGTGACGTTAAGATAACTAGTGCGATATGTATGCTGTCACATTCATCCGACAAATGACCAGTGATGAGTAGGCACACAAAGGTGTCTTGTTCGTCAAACCTTTATATCTATTTCAGTTTACAATAATATTACATAAATTTATGTCTACTTACTTGACTGCTTTAACGACTGATAGAATGCATGTCATTAGAAACAAAACGCTAAAAATTCCCAGAAACACCAATGCAGTCGTATTAACTTCCGGCATTTTTTCCTCATCGTTGTGAACACTTCCGGTCTTGTTCGTCATACCGCGATATCGTCCATTCTCAGGCTGAGCATCACATGGTTACCGACGAATGCGGGACGAGCTTGTTAGACTGATACTTGTTACTGATCTGAAATCATAGAGAAACACTAGTACTACAATTGAATGAGTGAGGCAAGTATTATTCACATAACGGTCATGAAATCAAATAGCAGAAATAATTGTACATCAATTTCCAAATTATTTCACCACACACGGAAAGAATTGCTCACATTCGGCTCACCTATTTTTTTTAAATCCATCTGATATATTGTGTAACGTTTTCATGAAATAGGTTTATATTTCCTGTCCATGCTTACAGGCTAACACAAATTGGACTGGGTCACACGGCTGTTATGTATACAATGACCAACCAAATCGAGTTGTTTGTCTGTTATCTACACAAACAGACCTAATGTGTGTTGCACGTGGCCGAAGAAGCTACTGCTGATGCTGAACACATGTGAGAAGTTTATTCACTATGTCAGATACATATAAACACTTTTAGCTGCTATATCATTGGAGAAAGAATCAGATATATAACGGGCTTTCGGCCATTACAGAATTGAATTGAAGTTCCTGCAGTTTGTCAAATCAAACTGCAAACTCGTGTCCAAATGCTTTGCAATGAGAACAAAAAATATCAACAACACCAAACTGGAGTAAACGAAGATGCAACGCATTAAGTAAATACAAAAAGTGAATGAAACCAGCCGGTGCAAATCAGAAGGGACTTCCCAACAACATGCCGTTAAGCTATCAAAATTTAACAAAAACATAGACTCATACTCGTATGAGACAGATCGAGAAAATGTGCAAAACATGCAATTGTATATGAACTAAAGCCGTATACACACATGCCCATTATTTGATATTTTTACAAATCGTAACTTTATTGTTTCTCATTAAAGTATATCACCGATGTCCCAGGTGTCCTTAGTACCGCTCCCAATGACAACCTTATATAATTAACGTTATTTGTATCATTACAAAATGACTTCCATAAAATCTATACAGTTCAAATATCGTTAAATGTGGTTTAAATTGTATCGAGTCCGCCTCCTTCTGAGCTCGTTCCAAGAATATCATCAAGGATCAGACTTTAACTTCAATCAGCGAAGATCGATATGATACCAAGCAATTACCGCTTCAGACAACACTTTCTAACACATCAAATTATTATATTTCTAAAATGTTTACCATAACGATATACTTGTTGATCTTAGTCATTATAGACACATAACATAACAATATGTATGCTGTTTTATGTAATTTGTGTATCAGTATGACGTCATATTGATCTGTGTAATGTCTGTGTCAGTATGGCATCATGCTATTTTGTGTGATGTCTGTATCAGTATGACGACTTGTTGTTTTATGTATTGTCTTTGTCAGTATCACGTCATGTTGATCTGTGTAATGTCTGTGTCAGTTTGACGTCATGTTGATCTGTGTAATGTGTGTGTCAGTATGACGTAATGTTGATCTTTGTAATGTTTGATGTTAATCTTTGTAATGAGTCTCTTAGAACAACATTAGTCTGATCTATATAATGAGCATGTCAGCACAATTCTATGTATATTGACCTACGTCATGAACGTGTTAATGTAAGAAAATGTATACATTTGCTCTGTATTGCCACTATCTAACTCTACCAAGGTCAGTTTTGTGTTATGAGACCTTAACACAGGCGTAGTGATATCACCACGGGTTCTACTTCCTACCGGGTAGCTATTCCCCTCGGCACTAGCAAGCGGATAAGCAAATAAACATGCTGTGATTCAATAACATGCACCATTTTATGTAATACTATTATAAAATGTGAATTGAATATATTTATTGATTAAACTAAGGAGATAGTATCGATATTTTTGTGATTATTTCCACGAAATATATATTTTTTAGGAGAAAAGTCACGAAACAACATTTCGTGAGCAATTGAATGGGCTGTTCTCCCTCTTGAACTAACACCGCGAAATTCGAATTTAAAAGTGCGTTGTGATCTTAGAAATGAAAATGTTTTAAATGAAAAATGTAAATATAAACATAAAACAGCATTTTGTTTCTTGTTATTGTCCTATAACACGGAACAGAATGGTGTTTAATGCTTATTTATTACTTGGATTAAACCTAGATTTACATGGCGGTTGTCAATGAAGCCAGACAATCTTACCCATCCGAAACACATGGTGGTACTTGTATTCTGTCAATGGTCTACATGTAAATCTTTTCTTTGTTGATGATTTGTCTAGTGTTATCATCTTGGAGTTAAGATCATGGTATCGTGACTCTTCGGTATCCTCTTAATGTTTTACTAACATCACATTTTTCTCACATTAATGTTTTACTAACATCACATGTTTCTCACATTAATGTTTCATTTAAATATCACATGATTCTCACATAAATGTTTTACTTACATCACATGTTTCTCATATAAATGTTTTACTAACATCACATGTTTCTCACATAAATGTTTTACTTACATCACATGTTTCTCACATTAATGTTTTACTAACATCACATGTTTCTCACATTAATGTTTTACTAACATCACATGTTTCTCACATTAATGTTTTATTTAAACATCACATGTTTCTCACATAAATGTTTTACTAACATCACGTGTTTCTCAAATTAATGTTTTACTAACATCACATGTTTCTCACATAAATGTTTTACTAACATCACATGTTTCTCACATTAATGTTTTATTTAAACATCACATGTTTCTCACATTAATGTTTTATTTAAACATCACATGTTTCTCACATTAATGTTTTACTTACATCACATGTTTCTCACATTAATGTTTTTAATTAAACATCACATGTTTCTCACATAAATGTTTTATTTAAACATCACATGTTTCTCACATTAATGTTTAATTTAAATATCACATGTTTCTCACATAAATGTTATTACATCACATGTTTCTCACATTAATGTTTTACTAACATCACATGTTCACATGTTTCTCACATTAATAATAAATGTACGCATGGAGACGAATTACCACATGCAACTACGAGAAATTTATCGAAATGTATCCGATTCACTATCTCTGTTTTCAAAAAAAATCTAGGTTTTTCATAAACATATTGCATCCGTCACTCACTGTTTATTAGCACCCGACTGATGGCAGTACTCTCTGTATATTTCCATTTTCAGTGTTAAGTAACGGCCGATGGTGTAAAATGGAAGCGCCATTATGTTGTGTTGTGTTTACTCCATACGGAAATTGTTCTCAATAAAAAAAATGTATTGGTGAATTATGTAGGCGGATGTGTGGTTTGACGAGTGTTAACAGACACGTATTGATACTCTCGTTTGCTCTGATTGAACATAATTATAGTGTGGGTGGCAAATGCTAAAAAGTGGTTCCGTGTTTTTTTCGAGAAATAATGTTAGGACAGCTCATGCACATATGTTCTAGAAATAGCAAATAAACGATAAATTATCCATATGTTAATTACGTACCAGGTAAATATTTTGGAAAAAAAGGATAGTCTCTTCCCAAACGTTTAATTACGTGTTTATAATTATATTTAATAAACAATTGCAGTAAATTGGAAAAGGGGGGATCACTGATGAAACCCTCTTACCATTACTGAGGTGTTACTGTATACTACTGTGTACTACTTTGTACCGTGCATCGCTGGAATTAATTGATTGCACGTGCTTGTAGTGATTCGGTCACTCGGACTGATTGACCGTATCAAGACTAGGGGTATCTCGAGCCTCATCTTTCCGTCTCAAAGCAAACATGGCTGAAGTTGTTAACATTTATCATTGTAGATCACCAGATGTTGATTCTGATTTTCATCGATAAAAGTGCTTCTAAAGGAATGTAATTCTAATTACCTGTAAAAACAAGGCTAAATAATTGGTACAATCACGATGGTAATGACAATATCGTATACAAAAAACACCCAAATGCAAATTGACCTATCAAAAAACAGCTGGAACTGGAGAAAAACGACATATCTAAATTTGTTTTTGGATAAATACTGCAAAGCTGATCAATTATTAATCAAGGTGATTAAAAAAAAGTTTTAATCAATGGTGATAATAAAAAGATGACGAAGAAGATAGAAATCCGAGCTGAACGTGAATGTCTGTAGTCAGTTCACATATAAGATGGTACGACGCAATGTGAATCCTGACAGTTGGTATTTCAGGTTTGACTATAACACTCCATGTATAATTCATTCTTTTTACAACAAGAATAGAACCTGTTCATCAAAGAAATTAAAACAAGTTTCAAATTATAATAAAACAACATTTTTTCCCGGTACTGTGTGTTTAGTTTTGTAATGCACAGTTAGTGTAAGTGTTTATTGTGTTGGTAAGATAATGTTGAAATCGAATTTGTATTCATTATCTTCAGCTGAAAGCTGTCAATAACAAAACAAAATATTAAACATTTCTATTTATAATTGAGGAACCATTTTTACATAATGAAACGGAACGGGGCTAAAGGCATGAAAAATAAAACATATTGTTAGATACTAGTAAGTACAATTTGCGAGGAACTTGTCGGCAAACGGTTGTACATTAGGTACATAGCGTGGGGGATGTGTCGGCAGACAGTTGTACACAAAGTACATAGCGTGGGGGATGTGTCGGCAAACAGTTTTACACTAAGTACAAAGTGTGGGGGGAGTGACGACAGACAGTTGTACAATAAGTACATTGTGTGGGGGATGTGTCGGAAAATAGTTTTACACTAAGTACAAAGTGTGGGGGAAGTGACGACAGACAATTGTACAATAAGTACATTGTGTGGGGGATGTGTCGGCAAACAGTTGTACAATAAGTACATTGTGTGGGGGAAGTGACGACAGTCAGTTGTACAATAAGTACATTGTGTGGGGATGTGTCGGCAGACAGGTGTACAATAAGTACATTGTGTGGGGGAAGTGACGACAGTCAGTTGTACAATAAGTACATTTTGTGGGGATGTGTCGGCAGACAGTTGTACAATAAGTACATTGTGTGGGGATGTGTCGGCAGACAGGTGTACAATAAGTACATTGTGTGGGGGAAGTGTCAACAGACAGTTGTACAATAAGTACATTGTGTGGGGGA